TGCCCCCCTTTTGGGCTGCCCCATGTCGGCGGATGTGCAGCGCGGCCCGCAGGAAGCCCCTGCCTGCTCTGGGACCCCCGGCCCGGGTGCCGGCTCTGGTGCGTGCCGGGCACGGAGCCACTCCCGTTGGTCACAAGTGAAAGCTGACAGCCTGCGGTGCGGCAGCTCGGGTGCAGGCCCTTGTGGAGTTGCCACTGGTCACTAGAAACGGAAAATACCAGTCGGCGATGAAATCTTTCCTCTTTCAGCAAGGGGTGGGTGGTAGGAGTGGGCAGCACCCACGTGCCTGTTAGCAGCTCTGCGAAGGTGTGCTGAAGGGTTCCACAGTGCGGCCACTTCCGCAGAAAAAAATCTGAAGATCACTTTGCATAGCTTTACTTTTTACCTTATCCGAGTATACAGTTTTAATATGCATATTACCGTCTGGCTTAGTGTCTGCCTTCCCACTGACACGTCATTCATTATGTAACGTGCTGGAAGAGACTCCCCACAAACATACCTTTCACGAGCGATTCCACGGTAGGCGGCATAAACACTGCAGTTTATTTTAAATGATTCAGTACATCAGTGCGTTGGACATAAATCAGCTTCCAATCACATGTAACCTGCTTTGAAAAATTAAATTGTGAACTAAGCCGACCGTTTCTGAGTTAATTTTGGTGCTACTGCTGTACTCTCTCTGGATGAGCCGGCTCGGTGCTGTATGATGCAGGACCCCCGTGGACAAGCGAAGCGGGCGGCCTGCCCCTCGTGCAGTGAAGGGCCCGCCCGCCCGGGCAGGGCAGACCACACGGCTGCGCCTGCACCCCGCGCTGACAGGCCACGCAGTCCCCAGTGCCCGTGGGCCCAGGCGGAGCCTGCGGGACCAGACCCACTGCCTTTGTGGAGGCGAGGAGACTGCCTCCCAGCCTCTGTTCTCTCCTGCTGAGCCCAGCCTGGGGTACAGGCACCCACTTTCCACCTGGCGCCTCTCCGTACCCACTCTGCCCCGCCGTGGGCCTCGGTTCTGCTGGCCACACCGGCTGGCTGGCGGTCAAGCAGCACTGTAGTCCTCTTGCCTCCCCACACCCAGTCCTGGCAGAATCTGGGTACTGCCACGGGACCCCAGGATGCCTGCCGTGGCCTCTGGACTAGTGCCTGTCCTCACCCTCGTGTTTCCCCTTCCTGGCTCCCAGCCTCAGTCCCCACCCACCTGGCTGCGGCCATGTCTGCAGTTTGAGTCTCGTTTGGACACACCAAGCTCGACAGCTGGCCAGGCACACCAGGCCCTGTTCCTGGGGCGCTACGGGCAGCGGGCTGTGGACCCCTATCTGACCACAGGGCTATACCACGTCTCCATGGCTCCCCCTGCGTGGGATGGCCCCGTCCAGCTCCCCTAGCCCAGCCGGTGAGACAGCCCCGGAGGAAAGGCAGGCCTGGCTCCAGAGTTGGGGAGACGCAGCAGGCAAGAGCCCAGCCTGCAGCAAACTAGAAACCCGGGGAGTCACTAGAATCGTAATGTGGGAAAATCAGTCACATTTGGGGTCACTTACAAGTGCTCTTATTCAGCTGTTTTTTTTTTTTTTTTGCCTTTTTTTTTTTTTTTTTAGGGGGTTTTTTTTTAAGGGAGAGGTTTTTGCTATAGGGCACATGCGCTCACCAGACAGACAGAGAGAAACAGAGAGACAGAAAGCAAGAAATCACCCCCCAGGGGGGATGGCCACACCGCAATTCCTTCTCCTCTCGGGATCTTGGGCACGCACGCACACGTACCCAGCATGACTTTTAAGCCACCGGGTCCGGGATGCAAACTGCGGTCGACTACGTGGAAGTCCAGCGACATAGCCATTATGCTAACTGCTGGTTCCCTCAGTTGATTTTTTTAAGATTCAAAGATTAAAAGTTTTAAGAATAAACATCCCTCGAGAATCTTAATCATTTTAAGACCTTCTGAATTGTAAAAAGACCTATTCTAAAGCCTCGGAAGGGGCCAGCGGGAGCGGCGATCACATCACCGGAGCCCACGTGGCCTGCCGTGGTGTGAGTCCTGGACCAGGTGGCTTAACACGCTGGGTCTGTGTGTGTGCGTGCCCCCGACCCCCCGAGGGAAGTGGAGAAGAGACCGTGGCATGGCCATGCCCCTCAGGGGTGACTTCTCAGTTTCCCTCACTGTCTCTGTCTCTCCAGCGAACGCACATGCCCTAAGGGAGAAAAAAAAATCTTAAAAAAAAAAGTCTTGATGGAGGTAACATGTCAAACATTTGAGATTTCCTTTACAAATGAGCACAGAGCCCAAGTCTTTATCCACCGGCCAAGCAAGGAAAATGGAAAACTGATGTTCCTCCACTGACTTGTGTCCCCTCGCTGCGCTGTCCGTGTGGGTGGTCCGGAACAGCTGGAGACGGTCACGGCCTACAGGGACAGTCACGTGGCACAGGGTGGCGTCCCGGGGCAAGTGAACCCTACTCTGCCACAAGCACTCAGGAGCAGCACACAGACGTGACTTCAGGGGCAGTGTGCTTGGCCTCCCCAGGGCCCTGGCCTACAGATGCGACACTCCGACCTCTGCCTCCATGGTGTCTGGCATCCTCCCTGCGTGGCTGGTCTATGTGGCCCTCCCTAGAGGGCAGCGGCCATCCCGGGCTGAGGGCCAGCGTCCTCCCCTAGCCGGCCCCTGCAGGCCCAGGCTCGCTAGCTCCCATCCCCCCCAGGTGAGGTGCAGCCCCAGCTCTGTCCTGCTCTCTCTAGGGACTCACGGCGGGGCCTGGCGGAAACATCTGCTCCTCTTCCTGGAGCTTGTGCGCTCCAGAACCAGTGCCGAGTGAAGCGGTTGTCTGCCCTCGGGTTGGTGCTGCACAGCCGGGAGGGGCCCCTTCCCCAGGTGAGTTCTGGCTGGTTGTCTTTGCCAGGGGGCACGTGGGCTCACCAGGCAGAAGGGGGAGAAGCAGCACCCACCCCCCAGAGCCAGATTAAGGTGAAAGGGAGTCTTTATTAGCTGGCCAGCGACTACAGCCTGAGGCTCGGGGCTGAGAGTCAGAACTGCAGCCCGACCGAAGTCTGAGCAGCCCTTAATAGGGGCCAGTGACCAGGGGTTTCCACGCGAGCAGTTACAGAAGCCGAATCAAGCAGGCTAATTGTTTCTGAGGGGAGTGGGGTTTCCATGTAAGCAGTTACATCACTAAACCAAAGGCTTTCAGGCTAGTTAGCAAAGACAGTGGCAGGTACAGGATGTCGTCCCAGGTGGGACCGGCAGTTAGCGTAATGGCTGTGTCACTGGACTCCCATGTAGTCGACTGTGGTTCGAGTCCTGGACCCGGTGGCTTAAGCTCACGCCGGGTGTGTGTGCATGCCCAAGATCCTGAGAGAAGAATGGAGAAGGGACTGCGGCGTGGCCATCCCCCGAGCAGCGATTTCTCACTCTCTGTCTCTCTGTCTCGCTGTCTTGCGAATGCATGCGCCCTATAGCTAGCAAAAAAACCTCTACAAAATAAATTTTTTAAAAAAAGGATGTCGTCTGGATGTGGTTTTCTGTACGGCTAGCACAGCTGTTTTCTCACGGGAAGACAAAGCAGGTTTACAGAAGCAGGCAGCCACGTCAGGGTAAGGGAACAAAACGGGCGAACAGTTGTTCATGAGCGGGATCTAATGCGCGGCCTTCCACATCCCCCCTTCTGACTTGGAGAATCACATCATTGATCCCGAGAAGGGGAGCGGCTCATAGCAGGAGAGGAGGACCATGGGCGTGATGGGCTGGATCCGGCCCTGAACGAAGTTGATGGGAAAACGGAGGACACAAGGGCCAAAGAGACGGGCAAGGACCTGCACGGCCGAGACGAGGGTGCTGGGCCAGGGAGGCCAAGAGAAGAGAGGCTGATACCAGTGACCCTCGGAGGAGCGGCGCTCCTCACACTCTAGGAGCCGTTTGCGAAGCTGGCTCAGCTGTCCCTAACGACCCGAGTGCTTGGTGTAGAATTAAGGCCCGGGCCCACAAGGACGGGCTGCAGAGGCGCGGCAGGACTAGGGGCGAGGAACAAGGCGCCTCTGAGTGGTGAAAAGGCCAGGGACCTTGCCCCAGACATAACGGCAAAGGCTGTTAAGAATGGCCACCCTCCCAGGCATCGACCCTGTGACCGTCGAACAGCAAGGGGGTTGCAAGCGCCAGCAGAGGAGCAGGTGCCAGTGGTCGGGACACGGCCGAGAGGGTCTGGTCAGTGTCTTTCCCAGGAGCAGTCGCTTCACAGCCCCAGGAGGGGCACAAGTAGGGCTCAGAAGCACATCTGGGGCGTGTCCCGGGGACAAACACAGGACAAATGGGAGCACACGGCCTGCTCCCTGGGCAGCCAGCCCAGCCCGCAGCAGGGACATGGAGCCACCGCGCATCGCAGGAGACTGGCTAGGGCCCGAGGAGATCGAGAGGTCAACCCTCTGGACTTAGGGACGGAAGAGACAACGGTGCCGTCCATGGTGCAGAGGATCCGGTGTAAGAGGGAAGGTCATGTGGGGAGGGCAGGGCGGGGGAAGGAGCAGGAGAACCAGGAAAGTTAGCGCACTTTGACCTTGAGGGGGTCTGAGGGACGCTGACGTCCCCATCTCTGGGTTCAGGAAGGGGCGGTGGGCTTCGGGGGGGCGATGAATCCAATGACACTTCCCCACAACCTTGACAGCAGGCGGGGTGCTCAGGGTAAGAGTGTAGGTCCGTCCCGCGGGGGTCCCGGGTTCCGGGTCCCGGGGGTGTGATGTCTGACCCTAACTGGGGCCCCCGGGTCCAGGGCTGGCTGTGAGGACAATGCAGACTCCGTAGCAGCCGGCCGGTGGCTGCAGACGAGGCGGAGCAGCTCAGCAAGAGTCGCCTGGAGAGCCTGCAGAGACAGTCCAGATTTGGATCCCAAGCAGGTTGACCGGTCAGAGAAGGCCCTCGAGGGCGGCGGTCAGCAGGGTCAGTAGTGGGCTGTCCTTGCTGGCAGAGTCCGGAGGAGCTGCTGGCAGTCATCCCAGGTGGGCTGACGGGTGAAGAAAACAGTTGCGAGGAGAGAGATTAATTAAACCTGTGGGTTCTGAGAAAAGGAAGGATTCTGGTTTCTCCAGGTTACAGGCCACTCACAGAGAAGGGGAGAAGCCACAGAGGGCCGACCGTCTAGGCCTAGTTCAGAGGGCCCCACTGTGTGAGGGGAGGCCTGGCAAGGGGGCCGAGGCCCCTTGGGATGTGCCGTCCCCCTCAGCTGGTTTCTTGCCTACGGAGGAGTCCTTAGGTCCTGGCCCATGAGTAGATCCAGCTCAGGTATGGAGAGACGGGGAGGACCGAGGGGGCATCTCCATGGGCAAGAGTGCGGTTTCCGGTGTACGTGGGGGCTCCTTTAGTTGCGGAGCGGCGGCCTGGGGCACACACGCACCAAGCCCCCAGGGCGGACACGCACACGGGCCCTTTCCTCCTGAGCAGCGAAGTCCGACCGCAGTGGCCCCAGAATAAACCCCGGAAGCACATGCCCAGCCCGGCGTGTCACCTCCCCGCACAGCTCTGCAGACACACCTGTCCCCTTCAGGCTGCAGTAGGACACACCCACAAC